CATTTGTTTAATCCTGACAACCCTTTTTGTAATAATTTTTATTGCTTTCATATCAGAAGTGGGATACGACTCTTTGAACGCAAAGGGTCGATCGTATCCATATTGTGCCGTTGTTCGACAGTTTGCGTCGTCGTTTTCGCGAGTGCCGAAAAGTTAAGTGTTCGCGAGTGCCGAAAGGTTAAGTGTTCGCGAAAACTGTCGCACGTTCTCACGTGTTTTACGCGCCGCCGTTTGCCGCCGCGGTCCAAAGTTCGACCTTGCGATTTTGGAGGCTAGCCGTTTATCGCAATCGTTACCGCGACCGTGTTTGGCCGTTTATCGCGATCGATACCGCGACCGTGTGCGCCGTTTATCGCAACGTGACGTTATCACCGTCCGACGATATCGAGTTCGCTGTCGACAGTGTTTACATCTGTCCACACGATGACTGAAAACATTCCGACACCGGTGGCTCCGACGTACAATCAGTTAATCGAGGCGGTGCGCACGTTAACCGAAAGGTTACAAGTACTCGAGAGTGCCTCTTCTTCACAACACACTCAACCACCACAACCTCCAATACAGAACACCATTCTCTCCGCAGCCTCCTCACTCGACTACCGCATACTTCCGGATGTGGGAACGTCCATCTGGTCGTTCACCGGACACGAGTCGAGCACCCAAGCGGAAGATTGGATCAGCTCTGTGGATGGGACGGCTCAGGTCAACCAGTGGCCATTGCGGCACCGTTTACAATACGTTCGATCGAACATCTCGCAAGCCGCGCGGAGTTGGTTCCTGTTGGAAGAGTTCCGGGATTGGGACACCTTCGTCCAGAGGTTCAGAACCACGTTCGTGCGCACGTTACGTAAGGCCGATTTGTGGCGTGAACTCGAAGCCCGAACTCAAGAGCCGAACGAATTAACCATCGATTATTTTTATGCGAAACTCGGGATGTGCCACTCGCTTGATTTGACGTTCGCAGATACGCGGGAATATGTCATCGAGGGACTCAGGTCGCAACCGCTTACCGACTGGGTCTACGGTCGCACTCATTCCCACCACGACGATCTCTTATCGGATATTCGAGATTGGGAACGAATGCGTGCCAAGAGAAAAGAAAAATTCGAGGCCGCCGGGCCGACGTCTACCAAACCACGCAAACAGAGGTTTACCACCGAACAGTCGAGTGCGAAATCGACTAGCGTCGCACCCGCTGTTCTGCCGAAAATGACGTCCAGCACGGTCGTTGAGTCGTCGACGTCCGTGCCTGAATCGAAAACCGACGCGTCGAGGGGCCGACCGACGATTTATTGTTATAATTGCCGTGGCGCGGGACACATCAGTAGGGATTGCCCGAAACCACGACGGCCGATGAAGTGCTCTAACTGCAACTCCAATCAGCACACACGCGGTCGATGCCCGGAGGTCGCTGAACGGTCCGAGGGTACGTCTGCCGCCGACCATGCGTACCGTGTCGACGCAAACACGAGCACGAGGCCGAAGAATCCGTTTTCAAAAACCGTGCTGGTCAACGGACATGCCGTGTCCGGCCTGATCGACTCGGGCAGCTCCGCGGTGTTGATACGTATATCGATAGCCCACGAGTGCGGTATCGCCGTACGCGACGCCGTGTGTCCGCTCTACACGGTAGGAAATGCCGATCAGCCTAGCGCGACGACAATCGGCGAAGGCTTCGCCGACGTCACCATTGACGATGTGCTGGGAGCTGACCACGTTTTGAAGGTTGTGCCTGACAACGCGATACCTGTTGACGTGTTGGTTGGCCGCACGTGGCTCGACCTTCCGCACGTCAATTATTCGAAGCGAGCAGGCGAAATTGTTTTTGAATCGAACAGTTGTGTGTCTGTCGACGCTCTCGCCGAGACGTATGTCGCCGGCGACGACGAAATCTACGTCGCGGAAACCGAACAACAGCCGCCCGCGAAGGAACCCATCACAGTCGACGACGTTGTGTTTGACACCAACGTGACGGAGGTTCAACGTGAATCGTTAGTCGAGTTACTAAACGAATATCGCGACGCTTTCGCGAAGAATATTAAGGAGCTCGGCTGTACGAATGTAATTTCGATGGACATTACGGAAATTCCTGATAGCACTCCGGTTAGTCTAAAACCATACCGAACGTCGCCCTCCGACCGCCGCTTGATCGCTGACACGATCCGAGACTGGAAGGAAGCAGGCATTGTGAGCGACTCGACCTCTCAGTACGCCAGCCCAGTGCTCCTCGTTAGCAAGTCGTCGGGTGAGAAGCGACTATGTGTGGATTACCGACGTCTGAACCAACAAACCACGAACCAGCCATACCCGATGCCCGACGTGGACTCACAGCTCGGTGCATTGTCTCATGGCGTGATTTTCACAGTCCTGGATTTATCCAATGGATTTCTGCAGGTGCCGCTTACCCCCGCGGCCAAAGACAAAACAGCGTTCGTCACCGAAGAGTCGACCGCCAAGTTTGAGCGCATGCCTTTTGGGTTAAAGGGTGCACCGGGGACGTTCCAGAAGATGATGGGAATCGTTTTCGAAAATTTGAAGAAGGACGGAGTTCTAAGCACGTATCTGGACGACATCATCCTACCGTCGAAAAATTGGGAACTCATGATGAGCGACCTGCGTAGAGTCTTAAGCGCGTTGCGCGACGCAAATCTCACTCTCAAACCGTCAA